GACCACCCAAGCCATCCTAGTATTCACTCGCTTGCATTCTGCTGGATGGCCAGGTCGAGATGACAAGTGCTGGTGGTCACACCCGTCATGTGCATGGCCACCATCTGAAGTTGTACCTCAAGAGCGATGTGGATCCGCTCTTGGAGGCACCTGCCACCGCTCTAAGCACCCACCCTCTGCGTCCAGCTAAAGACGTAAAAGAAGCGCTTGGGGGGAGGCAACCCCACCACGGTTTGTTTTTCTTTTGTTTCTGGTTTTTCCACTTGGAACTATGATTTCTATCACCCAGTGTGTTTTGATGACTCTAGCTCGGTGCCTTTCAACTAGCTCCTTCCAGTCCCTAATCTTGACTGGTCTACCATCCAGTCGTCAATCCCGACAGTCTGTTTTCCTGGTAACATCGTTCCCCTTATCCTTCCCTCTTCTCCATTGAGGGCAATGTCGTGCTTAAGTGTGTGTGTGTGGGGGGGGGGGGGTGTTTAACTTTGACTGCATAGATGAGTTTGTGTGCTTGGAGCCTAGTCCACTGCCCAATTTGATGAATTGAGGGCTCCAATTACTATTCCCTGCAATAACCTACTCAATATGCTTTGAATTGACCGTCTTTATGGTGATATGCAACCTAGGGAGGTAGTTGTAGCACTATGGAGGATGTTGAAGTATAAGATTTTTCCTATATATCTCTCTGCTGTGTCGGTTGATTTTGTGAACTAGTGGATTTAGGACCGTTGATTCATGTGGTATTGATGACTCCTCTTATGTTGTGTTGTGCACTCGTGTATTGAAAAAGGGTGCTCAATTGTGTGAAATGAAAAAGCAGTTGGTCTTCCATGTCAAAACTTTGAAATTTTGAGACATGGGGTAAGCCCAACGTGTGTGGCACCGTTCATTGCACAAAATCGAGTTTTGGAAGAGATTTTAGTGATCCTTAGTGGGGTAGGCCTACAAGGTGAAGCTAAGTCATCTCTATTACAAGTAAAAATTCCACCCGTTGAACGGTTTGCCTACTCGAGGATGTGTTCTTAAGGGCACGGATAGAGCTTCCGACCCCCCTTAATTTCATTGACCCTCCACACGAAGTGAGGAATAGGAGTTAAAAGAAGTACTCTGGTGAGCGACAGATGTACAAAAATTGCTCTTGCTCACCTAATAAAGGCCGACCGCGCATAAAAACTGCAGTTGGAACCCCAGCAAAGTAAAACAAAAGAAATAATAAGGATAGGTTTCAACAAGTGAGATGAAATGGAAGGGCACCCGATAAAAAGAGTCCTTGGTAGTTAAACTGTGTGAGTCTCCTTATCCATGAACTCACTATCTTAGTTCCACTGCTTCTCATAATCCTAGCTTGAGTCTAGTACTCGCGTTGAGAGAGATAGGGGACGTCTTAGAATACCAATTGACCTCGTAAGTTGCTAATTGATCCAGGAAATCCTCTATCGACGATTGGGGTTGTTTGTTGCTATAAAGGTTTGAAGATAAGCATTGGTATGAGTCAGGTTTTCTTGGGGACAAGCAAACGGTTAAGTGTGGGGGAATTTGATGACTCAGTATTTACACATGTTTTTGTCCACCATTCTTATACTGTTTGAGACTCATTTCTGGTGTTTTAAACCGATTTCATGCTAGGGTGCTCTTTTTTGTGATATTTCAGGTCTTAGTACATGAATGAAAGTTTGGGCACGAGTTTGGGGTCGATTGGACGAAGTTGGGACGTTTGATGAAAAGCTGAGGAATCCACACAACCTGACCAGATTCCGACATGGCCGTGTGACTTGGCCGTGTGGCACTACTTTGTGCAGGCAAAGCCACACGGGCCGTGTAAGGGGCACTTTTTCCCGTGTGGGATTTCCAGAGACTTCACACGGGCTAGCTTGAATTCCACACGACCTTGTCGTTTTGGCCCTGTAGCATAGCTTGAGTCATAAAATCGAATGCAACATTTTGGGAAGTTACACGAGCAAGCTGAGAATTCCACACGGCCTAGGATTGATTCTGGAGCTGGGACTCATCAATCAAGCTTGGATTTCGTCCTTGGATTGAAGATTATCATCCCAGATCAGATTCTTCCCATCGTTATGAGTATGACTGCTTTGAATTCTATTTTCCTCTCTCTCTCTCTCTCTCTCTCTCTCTCTTTCACTCTGGAGTAGACCCTTCTCTCACTTGGGTATGAAGAACCCTAGTTCCATATGTTAGGGATCTTGATTGTAATGACCCTAGTTCATTTAGAAGGTCCTTGTGAATTATGGTGGACGAATGAGGCGGGTTCTGAAGGGGGAGAAGCTATCAAAGATGGCAACAAATGAAACAAATGTTCCATGCTCAGTTCTACCGTTATGAGCCGAGGTAACAATGGCAGACTTGGCACGAATGCGCCAACAACCAGGAGAAACGATGGAACACTTGTTAACCAATTTTAAGAATGCAAGAAATAGTTGTTTTGTGAACTTGACAGAACGCGAGTTTGTTGAACTTGCTTAGGGTGGTTTAAATTTTGAGCTACGTAAAAAATTTCAAGACAAAATTTTCATATGTGTTCCAATTGATGTCCTATGCTGTTAGGTACGAGTCCCTTCTCCATGAAGAAGAACATAGGAGAAGTGGCTCTCGTGGACAATATTTTCCTAATTTTGAAACTTATGGTGTGAATCACGTCAAAGACTGTGCTGATGAGGTTGAAGTTGACTTGCAGAGATTGTGCAAGGGAAGCCATATGTGTGTGCTTCTCTAGCCATGACCTATGGAGAGCCATAAGGTGGAAAGCTCAACCTTTCTCCAATTTAACTTAGAAAATATTATTTTGATGTTTCAAAATCGGATTCAATTTTCGACCAGATTTACAAAGATAGTCACATTAAACTGACTGGAGGGCATACTATCCCGCAAGCTGAGAAATTAAAGGGAAAACAATACTGTAAGTGGCACAACAGTGCATTTCATTCAACTAACATGTGTGCGGTGTTTCGAAACATGGCTCAAAATTTAACGATCACCATTTTTTGGCAAGCTTTCAATCCTTATAAGGATCAATATTAGCTTTATTTTCCTTTCCCATAAACAATTCTGACGTTTATTATTTTAACGATCACCATTGTTTGGCAAGCTTTTCAATCCCTATAAGGATCAATATTAGCTTCATTTTCCTTTCACTCGTGGCATAGGAAACACCTAGTCTAAACCATATACATGATAAATAAATTATCATGTCTTCACAAGCATTATAGGAAAATTAGAATTCCTTATCGCTTGATGCTTACTCGTAATGCAATCTTTTAGACGTGCATTAACCAAATTTCATCTCCAATATATTGGAGGTGTACTCTTTCGTACTATGTTAAATTGAACATAACCTATGCACTCACATTTGCAAAAACTTAGACTTAGATAGACTTGACCCATAAGTCCCCACAAGCCTCGTGCCATAGGTTTTAAACACCTATGGTTGTTCATATTTCCTAACAGAGCTTCCAACTATTCAAACCACCTTTACTATAGTCCATGAATGATTATCTTTGAATTTAATCCATTCATAATGTGTGGAACATGTTAGCATATAAAGGTATAGGTTCATCTATCCTCTCATGCATTATTTTGTAAACGGCTATAGCCTATCCACCCATTCAGGGTAAGGCTGACAGTACACAGGTGGCATGATGGGCCTTACTCCTAATCCAAATTGCTCGGTAAGGAGTTGAGCCACCTGATCTCTCATGGCGTTAGCGTCATGCCCCCATTGCCCCCTGGAGGTACGAACCCCATGTGGTCCACCCAATGCCCATGGACTTGGGGTGGTATGGTTGTTGGGTAAGCACGCGGAGGAACTTGATCCCCAACACCTAACCTTCCTCCCCCAACCATGTTAGCATGCGGTATATAGGGTCTCGCCATCGGGATGGATAGTGTTTGTTCAACATGTGTTGAACGTAGTGGCAAAATTTTTTCCACGTGGGACAGTTATCCAACTCCCACGTGAAGTGATGCCTGGAATCTCGCCCTGATTCATGTGGTTAGAGGGTGGTTGGGTCATCACTAGAGGTGGTAAGTTATCTTATCGTGGTTGTCCGTTCCGACCACTGATGGGAGAAAATCTTGCTTTGTTTGGAGTTGAAATTTGTCATCAGTTGACAAAGCTCGTGATTGCACTACTGATCCATTTAATAATTGCCTAAATTAATCCAACTTGTTTGAATGTTTTTTTAACAACCTCAAAAAATTGACCCAAACGTCTATCTACGTGGGAATTAAAACAATCAACTTGAGAGTTTAACTGATGAGCCATAACTCTGGCTTCCTCTATAAACTGGCAACTCTTCACCATAATTTGGCGGTTCTCTTCCATCACCTGACGAAGAGACACCACAGCCTCGCATAGATCTACATTTTTTGTCGACACGAGTAGCACCTCCCCTCCAGAAAGGTTGCCTGAAGCTCCTCCGACTTGGCTTGCTTCATCGCTGCCATTTGCTCCTCCTCCACAGAACCTTGTGGAAGATCACCTTCTTGATTCTTTCGTCTAGAATCCATCAAATCAAACACACATGTGTTCCACCAGGTGTGTCAATTTGTTTTCCGGCGAGAAAAATCTGGTCTTTAAATTCTATTAATGCACCTTTGACTTCTTGAACAACGATTAATAACACAGTTCGCACCTCTCTGGATAATGTTTGAACGAGGTTGTTTGATGTTGTGATGGCTGAATGAGAACAAGCTAAGTTAGGTTACTCCTACTCCTATTGAGTTTCAGTGAGAGCTTCGGAAACTAAAAGCTAATGACTATGGCTACATTGAAGAGAAAGGATAAAGTGTGACATTGTGCATCAAATGTTTGATTGTCGACCCCTGTTCCGTCTTTGTTTCTCCTATTTATAGTCGCTAGGTGTAACTAACTTGGTAACCGCCTTGGTAACTGCTAGTTAGCTTGTTGCTCCAACCGCTTTAGGGACCCCGTGTCGCCATCTTGTTAACCACCCCTTGTCGCCATCTTGGTAACCACCAACGAATCAGCTTCTCCAACCACCGGGTTGGTTTTGGTCTTGTCGCCTTGTCTTGACTGGACGGGGTTGAAGCTCTTTGCCTTGCCTCCATGATGAAGTCTCGACAACATATTTGGTAACCTCCAAGACTCCACACTTAGTTTTGTTGCTATTGTCTTGCTCTTGATTTTGTTGGCTCATCGACTTGATACCCCCTACTACCAAGCCAATCATGTCAAACCCTACTACCAAGCCAGTCGTGCCGATTCGGTCTCCACATTTAGCTTTTAGAATCTCATCAAGTTGGTACCTTGCCGCCCGACCAGCTTGGTACCCCGGGGCCACCAAGCCCATCTTGAGACTTAGTCTCCACATGGCCGCCAAGGGGCTCTACACCAAGTTCTCATCAAATTTACATCCTTTTAGCTTGGCATCCTGACCGGCTAGCCCCCACCCCTAATATTCCATACTTAGTCTTAAAAATATATGGATGGTTCATGGCGGCTTAGTACCCAACCTGGTGGCCACCTTAGCTAGCCACTTTGTCACCTCCTAATCGAGTTGGCACCCTACCTGTTTGATCTCTATATTTAACTTTTGGGAGGTTTGATAACTTGATATCAAGCCTGTCTTGCCGGCTTGGTACATTGTTGTCTGGCTACCAAGTCTTGCCAGATTGGTACCCTCTTGCTTGGCTACCAAGCCTACCTTGTTGACTTGGTAACCTCATGTTTGGCTACCAAGCCTGCCTTGCTGACTTGGTATCTATACTTAGTTTGTATATGACTCTATAGTTGGTATCCGGCTTGATACCCTGTTATCTAGCTACCAAGCCTATTTTATTTCCAAACTTAGCCAAATTTCATATCTTGGTACCAAGCCTGCCTTGCTGGCTTGGTACCTTTTTTGCTCCATACTTAACCAATTTTCATATCGTTGTACCAGGCCTGCCTTGACACCTTAGTACCATGTCTCCTTGCTACCAAGCATGTCTTGACGGCTTGGTACCCCCTTCGTGTCTCCATGCTTAGCCAAATTTTCCATCTTGGTACTAAGCCTATCTTGCGTGCTTAGTACCCTCTTGGCTCTATACTTGCACAAATTTCATGTCTTGGTACTAGGATCTCCTTGTTGCCTTAGTACCCTCTTGGCTCCATACTTAGCCAAATTTCACGTTTGGGCACCAGGCATGCCTTGCCGGCTTAGCACCCTCTTGCTTGGACACCAAGTCTTCGTTGTTTTCAGACTTAGTTTTTTGGAAAATACACATGTGTAGCCAAAACTTTGTCGGTTTGGCCAAATATAGCCACGTTTGACAAAATACCAAAAATAGTCACTTTCGTCCAATTGTTCGACGATGTTAGTTAACGTGCTGACTGAACTAACGGAAAGGCTGACATGGTAACATTTCGTAAATAAAATGCCACGTGGATTTAACTTTAAAATATAAAAATTGAAATGAAAATGAAAAGTCTCCCTCTCTCCCTCATCTTCCCCAATCCCATCTTCTCCCCATTATCCTTGTACAATTAATCAAGAATCCCTCATTCACCGTATAAAAAAATAAACTCCATCTCGTGAACCGATTCTCTCTTCCTTCGATACCCTCTTCCTTCGACTCCTTCTCTTCAAACTGATTCCCTCTTCCTTCGATTCCTCCTCTTCGTCGTTGAAGTCTTCACTCCCGGAAGGAACCCTAAGCCTCATCTTTTTCGATCAATTGGGCTATGGCGCTCGAGATTTTGATCAAAAGCTCCTCGTGTGGAGCCGGCTCTGCCAGCGTCGTTATCCGGAAGAGATACTGGACGAGATCGGACATGTCGACCATCCGGGTAAAAAGATGAGGCGGAGGGAGCAGAAGATGAAAAATTTGCCCAATGGGTCTTTCTGGGTTGGAGTCGCCAACCCTACAGTGTTCAGCCCCATTAGGTCTCGGCGCCGCGGAGGTGGGCATTTGGTCCATAAGTAATTCTCGACGGCAGTCTCGCCATCGATCTTCTTGCGGTGGAAGTTGTGGTGGGACTCGCAGACCGCGCATTTTAAGGCTTCCAAGGATCCTCCCTTAAGCGAATGAGTGGTTAGATCTGCCGCCGCCGCACTGGTGGTGATCTCGGTTTCAATGACAAACATAATGGTGTTCGCGCATGATTTCTAGCTTCTTCGTTGGATCCATGGCAAGGATCTCAGTTTCACTGGCATATGCGGACGAAGGGGCGACGATGGGGAAGCGAATAGTGAGATTTTGGCCTTCCTAATTTGTGCGGTGGGCGACTAGCGACGGTGGGCAATTTCTGCGACGATAGGCTTTCCCAATTTGTGCGGTGGATAAAGGTTGAAGAATGAGAATCCTTTGCCTTTCCCAATTTGTTATTCCCCATCTATCTCTATTATTCCCCATCTGTGTTGATTGGAATACAGTGCAAAGGTTGAAAATAGCGAGCAGTTCGTTGGACGAGGAGATAGAGATAAAGGGAAGAATAGATGAATTGATTATTTGTATTTTTATAATTTTTCATTTATGAATTTTTATTTATTTTTAAATTAGAATATGACATGGCATCCATGTGGCAAGTGTTGGTGAGTTGTCGATGATGTGTCCGATAAGTTGGCAGCCAGGTAAGCGTTCTGTTAATTTGACTAACGGTGTCACTGACGCCGTTAAAATATGTAACGAAAATACTTATATTTATGATGAAACTTTCAAAATTCTGGCTATTTTTGGTATTTCGCTAAAAGTGGCTATTATTGTCACAAACGTGAAATTTTTGGCTACACAGATGAATTTCACCTAGTTTCTTAAGAGTCATATTTCATACCAATGGTGGGAGGCATCGTACGGGCTATGGGGACGTCCAACTACTAGGTTAAGGATAGAGAGTTTGGCCATTTAGACCAAAAAATCTAACCCAATAAAACCTGACTAGCTCATTTGATTACTAATGTTGAGCTGATCTTATAAATCTATTAAATCTAGGATAATTAGTCAAAGTGGTACAAATTTATTTTTATGGGTAACAGTACCTTATTCCATTCCTTATTAAAAAGAAGAAAAAAAAGATGGAAATGGACCCAGCTAACTTGGAGCTGGCTAGATTTGGGTCTCTTTGACCAAAGAGCCACATCAATAATCTTAGTAAATCTGTTGAGCTGATCTTATAAATCTATTAAATCTAGGATAATTAGTCAAAGTGGTACAAATTTATTTTTATGGGTAACAGTACCTTATTCCATTCCTTATTAAAAAGAAAAAAAAAAGATGGAAATGGACCCAGCTAACTTGGAGCTGGCTAGATTTGGGTCTCTTTGACCAAAGAGCCACATCAATAATCTTAAGCTCTTGTTCCCAGATAATTAAAACATTTGTTTTGGTACTATTTTAAATGAATGGAAAGGACAAACGATAAAAATAATAATCCCCACTGAGAAATGTACAAGAAAATCCTTACCCGCGAGTTGGCAGAGTCAGTTGCTAGCTAACGCTTAGCTTTTGCATTTATTATTGTTCTTCAAAGTTGGCTAAGGTGATTAAAAATTCTGATTAAGAAAAAGAAAATAATATGTTTGATATTTAACGAGGACAAATAAATACATAAACAAAGTACTAGAAAGGGTTTTGGAAAAGAAATGTATTTATTAGAATTGCTAAAGTGGACAAGCAAGAAAGTTAAGGGAAGAGTACGGAGCATATCGAGTCAGTAACATTAGAGTAAGAGTCAATACCATGACTAACTTATGCATATCAATATGACATCAACATCTTTTTCATGAAAAGTCTTCTATATTTTTCTCTTTAATTTTTAATCGACGATTTCTTTTGAAATTTAATATTTGTTTTTGCACAGATAAATCATATTAATTGTTATCTTTAAAATGATATTCACTTTGATATATTTTTAGAACAAAAAAAAATTGAGACATTTGTTACCAGTCAATATCATATGATATTAAATAGGAGCATACGGTATGATAAGAAAGCATACCATGATGGTATGAACATACCAAGAGTGTAGGAAAGTTGAATACATGATAATAGAAGTATACTAACTGCCATTTACGACTTTCATAATTGTTTACCACAAGTTACCACCCCCATACCAGAGTGGTAAAGTATGTTAAGTTTGGTCCTGTATTTTTGTCACCCTGAAATTTGTAGATCAAATAGATAATAATGAACTCGTTTCTTCTGAGCAAACATTTTCAAAAAGGACTTAAGAACGAAGAAGTTACAAATGGTATAGAGTTGGTAATCGGAGGTATGAAAAAAATTTCTCAAAAATTATTGAAAATTGATCTCATTTTGTAGAGCACAACAATCTCATTCCATATGTGGGAAAAAAAAAAGAGTTAGAACGAATACAATAAAAGCTATTCAAAAAATTAGGCAAAATAAAATACTTTTAATTTACAATCCTTAAATCTAAATTTTCTGGACACACTTAAATTTAAAGGTCAGATTTAGTTACTAATGCGTCAGTAACTAGTAACTACAATATCTTCAGCCGGAAGAGCGGGATAGCTGATGCTTGAGCCTGATGGTGGTTATATTAATAAGTAATAAGTAATCTAAGTTTTAATTAATTAACTCAATAAATTAAGCAGCGGCAGTGGAAGTGGCGGTGGTTAATCATCAAAAGCTCTCTTTTTTATGCAAGCGTGGGTATAAATACAGCAGCTTTGTTAATTTGAGGCTTCCTGTCTTTCTTTTTCATTTGCTCTTTCGCTCTCTTTTTCAATTTTGGTACATTTCCCCCACAAAATTCCTTCTTCAGTCTTCCATTTCTATCCCTCGCTGTCCGAAACTCAAACCTGCCCAGTTTCAGTTTTTCTTGATCGGTTGGAGTTTTGGGTCTGGTTCTTGCACAGCGAGGCTGGTGGCGGCGTGGGGAAGGAGGAAAGTAGTAAAGCGAATGGAGGGTGTTTGAGCACAGCACTAACAGAGGAGGGGTTGAATGAAGCGCAGAGGAGAGGACCGAAAGTAGCAACAGAATCTGAAATGGGTATCTTACTATCTTTCTCTTAGCTACTTTAAACTAGGTGTTGCATTGTGTGTGTGTCTCTCTCCTTCCTTCTGGTTCTCCTCTGTGATGACATCTCAGCTCCTCTGACTAGGGTTTTGAATGGGCATATTTATTGTCCTGAAATCAATGTTCTTTTGTTTGCTTGTTTGACTGATTCTTCCTTCGAGGCCCTCCTTTTTCAGCTTTTTCCTTGGTTCTCTCCCTGAGCTTTCTTTTTCTCGGCGTATCTTTCGTCTTGGGAGTTGTTTCCTTCTGGTTCAATTCTTAGTACTAAAACTGCAAGTCCAGCGCTGGGTTGCTTTGGAATTGGTAACTTTCCCCAACCAGATTCTTACTTATCTTCATCTTCGTTAAGCCTTTTTGGTTTAGAGGAAAGAGAGAAGTGATTGTGTTCATTATATGCTGTGATTCATGAAAGCCAATTTGTTGAATTGTGTTCTCACTTCTGCCACCCTGAGAAGCTCTTGCCAAGTTAAAGCGGTTTGTGATCCTGCGAGGAATGTCCTCACTTCCTTCGGTGAATTTGAAGTTTCTTGTACTGTAAGTTTTGGCTGAATTGTCTTTCAATTGATCGCTTTGATGCAAAGTTGCCTTAAAACTCACCTCCGAGAGAAGTTGTTCTACTTCGGCTGAGTTAACTGAGAAGTTGATTCTTCTTCACTTTTCTGTCTCTGCATCTTTGATTATTTTCCCTATTGAAGTATGGCTTTATATATTAGGAAGTTGGAAGGTTTTTGGTTTGATTAACTTTCTGAGACCATCTTTCCGTTTGACCAGAATTCCCATTGAGAGGTTGCTGGTAGTTCAGACCAGGGGAGTTATCTGTCATCTACTGTGGGATTTTTTTTCTTGTTCTTGTCATGGAGATTGACATTAGTGAGAAGGATAAGCTTGAGCCGGAGAAAGGGAATGACGATAACTCTATGACCTATCAATCACCTGGTAGTTTAACTTCAGACTGGCATTTTGCTGGTGCTAATGTAACTACTTCAGCCCTCAGTTTGGTTCCTAGCGATGACGGTCAGATGAATGCTTGTAGAGGAGATTTAGTTGGTGTAGCTTCTTGCTCATCTGCCACCATGGAAGAATCATTTGCTCCACCTGGTCTGTGGGATCACCAAACTAGTTCACAGAACACTGGGTTTTGTGACATCAGTGTAGACACAGGAACTCCGGTAGGGATTGTAACTAGTGGTCCTGTCTCTTTGAGAAGCAGTATCGATGGAGCTCTGCGTATGGGTTGGAATCCACCTAGTTCAGTGTTAAGGAGCGGTATTTTCTTGCCAAATGCCCATGGAATACTTCCCCCAAGCTTGTGTCAGTTTCCAGCTGATCCTGCTTTCATTGAGAGAGCCGCCAGGTTTTCATGCTTCAACAGTGGAAATATTTGTGACATGGCTCACCCTTTTGGAATGTCCGAAGCTACGGGTCTTTACTCTAGGGGAGGGGGAATGATGCAGGGGCTGCAGGAGCTATCCTTAGCTCAGAAGAATATGATGCATGGAGTGGGATGTTCTGGAGAAGCAAGGGATGCTTCTTTACACATGGATCATGCGAAACCTGAAGAAAGCCCACTTGAGAGTGACAGAAAAAGTGAGAGCCTTGTAAGATCTCAGGATGAAGTAAAACTAGGATTGGATAGGTCTGGTATTGACTCTGATGAAGCTGAATTTAGCGGTGGGGACCAAGATGATGCCACTATGTTGGCGGCAAATGGTGGAAAGTTATATGCTAAGGGCCTTAACTCAAAGAAAAGAAAGCGAAATGGGCAGGTAGGAATGCCTGCTTAGCAAATTTTCCTTTAGATCTAGCGTTTTAATTTAAGATTTTCCTAATTGAGCTTGGTTGGTCCTTTGTTTGTTTGTTATTCTGAATCCTTGGTTAGGACACCGAGCATGATCCAGGCAAGGTAAGCCAGCAATCTGCAGGAGTTACTACGCATGACCCTGAAGTTCAACGTAAGGGTGGTAAAAATCTGACTTCCACAACTAACAAGACCTCTGGAAAGAATGTGAAACAAGGATCTCAAGCTTCTGATCCGGCAAAAGAAGAATATATACATGTTAGAGCTCGAAGAGGACAGGCAACTAACAGTCATAGTCTTGCAGAGAGAGTAAGACCCAATGGCTCTAGTTAGGCCAGCCCATAAATGTTTTGAGCTCACTGATTTATTCTGGAAACAGGTGAGAAGGGAGAAGATCAGTGAAAGAATGAAGTTTCTGCAGGACCTTGTACCTGGTTGCAACAAGGTTGGTTTTTTGGAATCAGTAGCTTAACTAATCTAATATTTTGTTCTTGCTTGCAACTGATGAAGTTTCGTCTGACTTTTGAAGGTGACGGGCAAGGCAGTGATGTTGGATGAAATTATTAACTATGTACAATCACTACAGCGGCAGGTGGAGGTGCGACAGCTATATAATTCTTATTTTCTCTTTTTTGCTCTTGTGGCTCTGAAAGGGTTGATGACTTTTGCACTCTTTAAGATCCGATTTTGATTGCATTTTAAAAGTTTCTTCATTTGGTTAGAACTTAAAACATAGATACCAACTTGTCAAAATGACTAGCTGAAACTTGTATTTTACTCACCGTGTGCCCTCTTTTGCCAGAACATATGGCTTTTTTCAATGGTTAATGTTCCAATTTAACACCTGTCTTTTCTTTCACAGTTTTTGTCAATGAAGCTTGCAACAGTGAATCCGAGGATGGATTTTAACCTGGAAGGGCTTCTAGCAAAAGATGTGAGTGACTGCAAGTTATTATGCATCCTAAGTTTCTGCTTATGGGTTCGGCTCATTTGTACCTCAACTAACTGTATGCAGATCCTAGCGTCAAGAGCTGTTCATTCAGCTAGTCTGCCCTTTTCACCAGACTTGCCTATGTCTTATGCTCCATTACATCCATCTCAATCAGGACTTGTTCCAGCTGGTTTTCCTGCCATGGAGAATCATTCTGACACCCTTCGGCGAACTATTGGTTCCCAGTTGACTTCTACAAGTGGAGAATTTAAAGAGTCTGCTCATGTATTACCTACTTCTCCAGTCTGCTGTTTGTTCATTTATATGCGAAAACCTTCCATTACAATTTAGTTTATGGTGGCGTGCAGAGCTACACAATAAATATCCACAAAGCTTAAAGTTAACAGTAATGCTTCGGTCTTCACTGTACAGTAATCCTTTGCCGCAAGATATCATGCTATGCTCTGAGCCTAAGTTGTTGCACTGTGTGAACAATGGGTCTTCTTTCTCCGGGTTGATTCATGTTTTAATTGGTTTTCATTTTATAACAGCTACCAGGTTCCTGGAACAATGAGCTGCACAATGTTATACAGATGTATGGGAGCAGTGGACCTCAAGATAGCCAAGAGATAACTGGTATATAGTTCTCCCCCAGTGGACTTATTCTCTGCTATCAATTTCTCATTCTCAAAAGGAAAAGTTACAATTATTGCAGGGCCAGTTGCGGCAAGCAATATGAAGGCTGAACCTTGATTTTTCGTCCTGGTTCTAATGCAGCACGGCTACTAGTATATCATTTCTTGAACAGCAGGGATCTAGAGGACTATGAAGATTCGGGTCTGGATTGCTTCTAACTCATTTAGATGAAAAGTTACTGTCTGGTCTCCTTGATTGTCCCATAGCAGCATCGATGTCCATTAAATTCAGTTCCTCAATATCAATAGAGACTAGAGAGAAGTTCATTTGTTTTGCCTTGTGTTATAGGACGCAAAGGGAAGGAAAGGAATGATGAATGATGGAAGTTGGAAGAAGTGTACAGATAGGATGGTGGTGGTGGTGGTGGTGGTGGTGGAGGATAATGGATGGTGGAATCAAAGGTCGTGTAAACTACTATCATGAATATGTATGTATGATATAAGCACTGGAAAGACATGGTCGTCTGGGTCTTCCCTCCCATTCTTTTGTGTGCAAATTGCATATATACACAAAATTGCACGAGCATTCTGTTTCTTGACATCTGCGTTTTTAGTAGTTTCCCTTTCTACTTTTTAAACCCAAGCAGGTGAACATTTCGACTTGTTTGTTTCTTTCAGTCTAGTTTACCTCATCTGTAACCGGTGGTTTCACTGATGGAATGTGTTCATGAACTGTATATTTGGAAAGGTGACAGGCAAATTTATTGCTTAACTTGCTTGTTTGTTTCTTGAGTAGAAGGAAATTGGACAGTGTAGCTGTTAAAATGCCAACATACGTTAATTTAGGTGCCTTTACGTAAACCATACTAATTATGCGAGGGTGTCTAGACCTGACCGAGGCTAGGGTTTAGTTATGAACTCAAAACATAACACGACCTGATTAACATGTCTGACCAACCTGGCCGCAATCTAAGTTGACTTAATCCGTCCGACTCGCAACCCGCTACTCGCCTGACCCGTAACGTGATTCATCTGCAATCCAATTGGTCCGAACCTAACTAACTCGAAATCGATTAACTCGTAATCCGACTAGCCTGAACCCGATTGACTCATAACCCGATTGGCCCTATGAACTATTGAATAAATTTCATATGTTATTTCAATCAATTGTTCAACATTGTTAGAAATGGGTTAACGTACAATTATCTAATACTCTAGTAGTTATGAAACATATTTCCTCAATCGTCAAATTATTGACACTCCAAAATTTAATTTATGTTATTAGTTAGTGCATGCTAATGTTAGGACTTTTATAGCTCCTCTCAACTTCACCTAGGTTATAGTGCAAGCACCCAGGTTCAAAGCGAACGCCATAAGACAACAACCTGAATGATCACATATCAGACCACCACCAGCAGCGTGGTCTAAACTAGGATTAATGGAGCAGTCAGAGTTGATGTAGACCCACTCGGGAGGAGGCGACTTCCAACTAATAAGCTCCTTCGTTTTGGCGGGCGGACGAGGTCGGTGAATTATCCTGTCATTGTCCAAAGCGTTCCTCACTACAGGTAACGATGCTTTGACACGTTGTAAGAAGGTCTCAGAGTGACGATCTTGTCTGCGAAGACTCGATCATTTCTGGTTCTCCAGAGGGACCAGCAGGTAATGCCAAACTCAAGGTTTATGTGCTGATTTTGGAGTATACCGAGGTCCGAGTATCCAATCCTTCAGATTACTTCCAAAAAATTGTTAGTATTTAGAAAGGGGGATTAACTGCATCCATATTAACCGCGAAAAGATACAGTCCCGCAACACATGTAGGACTGTTTCAGGGTCATGTTTGCAATGCTAGCATGCGGTGTTGGTGATCATGTGACATCGTCCGCACTCTCTATTTGTCAGCAATCTGTCTCTAGTAGCCAGCCACAGGAAGTGACGTACCCGAGCTGACCCCTCCCAGCTCCAAATTGTGCGGCAGTCCACCTCCTGCATCTGGACATCGTCGCTGATGGCGATGTTGTAAGCGCAGCGCACCCTGAACCTGTCGTCATCCTCCAATGCCCAGGCGACAATGTCCTCTCCCGATCCCGCCACCATTGGAGCCCAATCACCTGCCCCACAACATCACCCGATAAATTCTGGCTAAGTAAAAAAATATTCTGCTCACCTTGGGGGTCAATAGGCTGGGATGTATCATCCACATAGTTGGGCAACATCTCGCCATTGCCACCCACCGATCCGCCCAGAAACTTGTGCTTTGGCCATCCTTGACTAACATTCCCATGTCCGCGGGCATGATTGGACAAGCCTTCTGCACTCCACGCCACAAGGACGAGGCTCTCGCCATGGATTTTAGCTCCAAACCACCATTTTCTTCGTCGAAAGTACTTAGCTTGCAGAACCTCCACCCACAGCTCATCAGAATATTTAATGAAAGACTAGGCAATCTTAGCTAGGAAGGCTAGATTTAGCTCGTGGGCTTTCCGGAGATCCAATCTGCCATCCTTCTTAGGCCGACAAATCCCTTCCTAGTGAACAAGGTGCACTTTCCTCCCCTCCGACGTGGATCCCCACACAAAATTTTGGATCTTCCTGTTTATTTCATCGCAGATGAAAATTGGCAGGTACGAAGTCTGCATGGCGTACGTCGGAAGAGAGTTGAGGATCGACCTAGCTAGCGTAACTAGGCCAGCCAAGGAGAGAGAGTTCGCCTTGAAACACCCTATTTCCGCCGGACACTACTTTTACCAAAATATCCTTGATAAATTGTGAAATAAAATAAGAACTAAAAATACTTAGAAAAATAGCAGAATCATTTCATAATAACTTTAATAAATACTGAAAACAACTGTCATTACTTAAACTCGAATCCCTGACACTTGGGCAACTCAAACATTAAAAGTCTCTACCTGATCTCCATTCTTTACTCATAATCATAAAGGGTAATAACTAATTAATCTCAAATGTTGCTGCTGACTGATAACCTTGACTAGACATCCTCTGTGGTGCCCGTACTGTCCTCCTCCAGCTAGTTTCCCTCGAACTGTCTCTCTAACTGCTCCTCCAGCTCTTCCTCTTCAAACTATTGAGTGAATTGGGGTCAGTCTACGCCCTTACGTCTAAAAATTTCTTATACTTGAGTACTTTACTTGAAACACTTAACTTAAACTGGTGGGAGTTGTTTGTACTTCCACTCTTAAAAATCTTAACTCTTAAAACTATGTGAGAGTTAATTTACTATCCCTTCTTAAAGGTCAAATCTCAACTTAAATATTTGACTGACACTGGGATCCCTCACTAGCTAGTCCGGTTGCCAACTCATACGTATGAGAAGTCATCCAGGCTTTGCTTAAACTTAAACTTATCGTGGAAGGCTCTTCTTCCACGATTCTGAAGAGAATAACTGCTGCTCATCTTAAAAATCTCAAGAGCATAATTGCTGCTCAACTTAAATATCTCAAGAGCATAACTGTTGCTCTGTCTCAAAGATCTCGAGAGCATAACTACTGCTCTATCTGAAAATCTCAAATGGCAACGGACTAGCGCTAGTGACTAAAAATACTTAAAACGACTTCACCTTCTTGAAGATGAGTTACTTCTTAAAAAGAACTTGTTTCTTAAACTTAAACTTACTTGTAAGTAAAGCACACAACAACATAAAACTAAAAGAATAACTCACACAAATCATATGACATCATATAAGCATACAAAGGCAAGTACAACACATAGCAGTCAAATCTCAAGAACTTAAATACCGTAAGGCGTAGAATTTACCCCCTTTACACTCACCTCATATCCGTCTAAATCGACTCTGATGCCGCTCTTAACTTTCCATACTCAGCCCCATAATAATCTCCTCACTTCCACGATTCCATAGGCGCCGAGGGTTCCTCGTTTGGACGTCAAACGAACAAGTTATGGCCAAAATAAGAATTCTGCCAGATTCCAAAGTACCAGGTACCGAAACTGCAATTTTTCCAGTCAAAACTTTCAAGTCTCTGTTCTCCTTCATCTGACGTCCGAATTCGTTTTTGTTGACACGTTGTTGATCCCGGGATCATCGTCTTCGCAGTGATGCCCATCAATCGAAGAATAGTTGAAGTCGAATCTATCGGTGTCGCCAACGTAACTTTTCAATGACCCTTCGACGAGTCATATGACGAGGATTTGTACTACCTCTTGAACAATGATGGTGTTATCGGTAATGTGACGTCTGGGGACAAAGCTGGTTGTGCTGGCCGCACCAGCCTCCTCATCATCTGATTGATCCTATTTACCAAACATTTTGCTAAGGATTTGTACACCACATTGCACAGATCTATTGATCTGGACTGTTTAACCGACTCCAGGCTTTCTTTCTTCGGGATTAAGACCAGAAGTGTTTCATTCACATTTCGGATCGTGGGGTACTCAAAACATTCGGCAATGAATTGAGAGAAGGCCTCACCAACTACCCCCCAACATCTCTGAAAAAATGTCGGTTGATAACCATCTCTCCCTGGGGCCTTGAGGCCTCCCATACTTTTGACCGCAGTCCAGACTTCGTCATGTAGTATCAGGTGGATCAAGGTGGTGGCCTCCATTCAGTCTCCAACACCCGGCCAAAGTCTTCATAAGTAAGCCATGCCGCCAAGAAAAGGAATAATCGCTCCACTCTGGCAGAAGTCGCGTCCGGGTAAGCAAGGATGGAGATAGGCTAATGATCCTACCCTATTCTCTCCAAATGTCGGTTAATGGTGTTAGGGAACTTGATCCGCCACAACTTGTTACACAGTGCCCAGTCGAGCCTTTGTGCAAGTCCTCCCCTATTCCACGTGAACCGGGGTCATGTGAAACCCACTACCAGCAACCCACTCGCATTAACATAGTTGCAAAATGGCCTTGTCCACGATTCCTGGTACCTTGCTCCACCCCGACGATCATTTGATCCAAGAATGGAGTTGAAATCGCCAACGAGTAGCCAAGGATCCATTATCATGGGCACCAGACCAATAATCCTATCCTAGAGTGCCTGTCTACGAGCTTCATTAGGATTCCCATATATCTTCGAGATCACCACCTAGCCTCCTAGACTACCCCGTTTCCTGCATGAGAAATGAATCATCTACTCCCACGCATCTAGTTGATTGACTTGAAGCACTTGTTCGTCCCATAGGACCCAAATACCACCTGCAAAACCGATAGCATCCACCATTAGGACACCATCAAAGCCCGTGCGGGGAACCAGCCCCTTAGCCACCTCCTTGCCAATATGAGGCTCGACAATTACTACAATCTCGAGCCTCATAGGAATAAAGAATGATTGGAAATCCGAGATAAACATATCGTGACCTGCCCCCTGGCAGTTCCAAGCAAAAATATTAACCATAAATTTTTAAAATAATGACAAAAAAGGAAAACAGGTCCAGGGGGAACTCCCTGACGAATTGACACTAGCTGGGGAGCTAGTGAGAAGTGGGTTGGCCAGTCTAGCCCCTCGTGTCTTCGACACTGTCGCCACGAGTACACAACCCTGTCTTGTCTAACCCATGTTCTATGTTTATCTTGTCCTCCTTACCCTGTACCCTTCCACACGTCTCCATCACTCCCTTGGTCTTAGTTTTTGGGGAAGGGAAAAACATGCTCCCTTTACTTTTCCTTTTCCATTCTTGACATGTGTGGCCATTATGATTGGTACTCAAAGCACGACCACCCTTTTGTTTCTCCGTTGCTACCGCAGGGCAATCTTCACTCTCGAGCTCACAGTCTTGGCCACAAACTCCTTAACTGGTACCGTGTCAAGGTTGACATTAGTGATTGTCATAGAGGAACGAGCCCCCACCATCTCCACATGTTGGAGGCTCTCATATTGGGTTGAGTGGCCCTCCATTGGACGTTGCGGTGGTTGTATAACATCCGTCGGAGCTCCTTTGGACTTTTGTATTTCTTCTCCCTCGTTCAGTGAAATTTCCACATCCTCTAGGGAGTTCTCTTCCTCCAGCACCTCAAACCGCAAGCCACTCCCCATGCTATTAGTTGGAATATAGCTTTGTGCCAAATGACCTGACCCAGCAGTCCCATTCCATTGCCCTATTGAGTCTTGTTTCCGGGGACGAGGTTTGGCAATCATCCATTCGCCATAATGAGACTTCAGTTGCTTGGGTTCCGCTCCTGCTGCTACAGTACACGTTGAAGTAAGTTCGCGAGCTTTGACGGAGTTGGGCAAGCTTTAGACGTGTGACCGCTACTCCGTGCATATTTGGTATAGCCCTTCAAACTCAATAAAGTAGGTCTTTCCACGATTTATTTACACAGTTTGAATTCGAATCCACCATAGCTATGGAGTTTCAGCGAGGGTACAAAATTAAAATATTAAACTCTACGTTTTTTTATATGCCAATGTTATATGGATTATCGAGGGAATGGAGGTTTGTTGGATATATATGCGGCCAGGAGAATATGGGTCACGATATTATTGTCTTCATGCTTCTATAACTTTGCTTTCGACCTCTGTTACTGATTTTCTTTTGCTTTATCTGTCTCAGGAAACGACTACCCCCTCTACATAAAGACAACTCCTCCCATTTTATTTGTTGTGGCATTGAGGCATTATAGATATATTCTCATTTATCAGGCAAAATATATAGGTGAACTTGCAAATTTGCTGCAACTCTACAACCAAACATGAAGAGAAAGAAGCAAGTGATCCCACACTACGATGATTGCAAGATATCAATTGTCTACAAATTTATAGGAGGCTTTTATCTGGTAGGTGTTCGTTGTTAATTTAGAGCATCCCCTAAACTGCTTCATGAATTTTAATTGACGAATAATTCAAACTATGACCACTAAACAATCGAGCAAGCTCATTAGTTGCATTTTGTTTAGCAAATTATATATCATCATTGTTGTTCCATCTCACTGACTTTAGGCGACATAAAATAGCACAAAACTAAAAAGAGAAAAATTAAGTATGTCAATCACAACTTACCGGCCAACGGGCCGGACTCTGTGCTAGTAGACTAGTAGAGAAACAACCAAAAGATTTTGTAGTGATTGAGCGGCAGTGACAGTAGGAAGACAATAGAAGGAATAACAAAGATGACTATTGCGTTATATTTTAATGACTGTTATGGAAAATGCAATCATTGCTGATTTTCTATTATTTTTCTCTAAATATATGTATTTCAGTACATAGTAGATTGTATATCTCTTTATATATATTGTACGGAAAATGATTCGAATACATACATTAGATTTGTACATCTTTTTATTGATTTTGTACATTCAACTAGACTTTGTCGTCACGGTACAGTGTCAGTGAAAATCGAGAAAATGATGAGTATTCATAAGAAAATATGTCTAAAGAATGAAAATATAGTAAGATTCTCTAATACGAAAATGTATCAAGGTAATTAACTATTGCGACGGTTTTTTGCCGTCATAGAAACAAAATATTGCTAAGTTCGTCAATTAAAAAAACGTAAGTGATGACCATATTAATGATAGAGATGACTCTGAGCCTTCACAAATAACCTTTGGCACGACTCGTCACACCAAAAAGCAATTGTGCCACTCGTATTTGGAATGGAACGTGACGCAAGCATGCATCGCAAAAGTGCATTTGTGACGGAATTAACCCATTACTGATGGTCACTAATGGCTTTCTTTTTTGTAGTGTAACTTCCTTTCTTGCTGAGTATTAACTTCTTCTTTTCTCAAATAAAACTCCCTCTTTTAATTTTTAATTTATTTCCTCTTTCAGTTTTCCTCCCTTTTGTTCTTCCGCTCTTTTCTTTCCTTTTCTTCAATATTAATAAGAAAATGGTAATTAAACTTCCAAAGAATCGAGGAAGACAGAGTGACGACGAACTTCATTCGCAATGATTGCGGGTGATGCATGGATTAGAGATGAGAACCGATTGCGGATTATAAGAAGCAAGCAATTAAAATTGAATTTGAGCCAAAACGACGGACGCTGCTCCTACTTGGTTATAGACGGTGGTCTTCCGCCAAGAGTTCCCGAGTATTTGAGAGTCAACTGGTTACAAATTGAGAGGTTCAAATTGTGTTAGGAAATTGAGAGAGTTAGGGATTGGAAGAAGCGAATACGGGCAGTAGAATGAAGTTAAGATGTACCGACTGACGTCAAAAGGTGTGGAATCCAAAGAGGGAAGATACGGGGAATGGGTTAGCATGGTTACTTGACCCGCACGAAACTACACCACAAATTAATCCCGACTAGAGCCCAATTTTTTAAACTTTAGTCGGGTGTAGTATAGAGCAAGTATTTAAGTATCGACTCGGGCCGATCCATGTACCCCTACTTCAATCGCTTAAGTTGTTATCATGCAAAACGGTTTGGGTTTTAAAACTATGAAAACTACAAATAAAAACAAGCAAAGAAAAGTAAATAAAGGAAAATTCTAACTAAGGGAGCTTCACCCAGGAATTGCTTCCCCTAACTACTACCATGGTATGTGAACCAAAATGATTGCTATGGGCAAGGTGATCGCGAACCGCTAGGGGATGCAAATATGGTCGTAGACCACATTCATGATTGCTAAACCGAGGAATACAAATTAGGCTGTCATTTGGCCCTCTCGGTTTAGACAATCGATGGTTGACTTACTCCCTCACTCAACCCGATGGTTGGACAACTTAATCACGCTTAACCAAATGGCTTAATCCAATATTGAGGTTTGCCCTAAATTAACCTGGTTAGTAGACTTAAGAAGTCATAGGAATACCAACTCAATTGAGTCTCCCTTGGAAGGGGGGTTTTCCTCTCTAATCTAGGTTAAATGGCTAATTAGATTGCTAAATACCAACATGCACAACCCTTAGATTGCTAAGCACACATATGCACAATCCTTATGTTGCTAAGCACAAACATGCACAATCAACATGAATAATACCTCAATCATTGAATTAATCAACATCCATAAACAATCATTCAATTTAAACAAGTAACTACAAAGTATTAGTTAGAGATCTACAACACCCAAGAGAAAAGAGTGAGTTTCTAGAGAGAGAGAGAGAGAGGGGAGATTACAAAGAAACCTCCAGATCTTCTTCTCTAGGCTTGATTCTTAGCTTCCAAGCTTGATCAATGCCTTCAATTATGCTCCAAGATCACTCCCTCTCTCACTAGAACTCCCCTTTGGTGTTTTGGGTTGAAACCCTAGAGAAAAAAGTGTTCCTTCTCCAAAAAACCAGCTCTCTCTCTCTCTCTCTCTCTCTCTCTCTTCCTTTCAGCTCATCTTTTAAACTAGGGACGAGCTCGGTTCACGGCCTCAGTTCACAGCCTCAGTTCATGGCCGTGAACTGTGAAACGCGTCCGTGAAGTGCAGATGGGCGCCAAAACGCACCGCTTCGTTTGCTTATGTTCACGGTCAATAGCCTCAGTTCACGCTCTTAGTGACCGTGAACTCACCTTGCGTCAGTAACTTCTGGGATTGCTCTGGACGCCTCGAGGTTCACAGTCAATGGCTCTTCTTCACGGTCATGCAAGACCGTGAACTTCCAGGGACAGCCGTGAACTGGCCATTTTCCACATCTTCTCCCGGTTTTTGATCCTTTTCGTCCAACTTTTGACTCCGAGGCTGGTTTCACATGTTAAATCCTGAAAAACACTAAAACACGAGAAACCTAGCGTAAAACCAACTCTTTAGGAGCGAATTTGCCACAAACACCTAAGTAAAACGGGGTAAAACATGTACAACTAGGCTCGAATCATTACTCAATTTTGAGTAACCACGGTGGCTGCCAAAATCTACACCCTTTATTATATTTATTTCACACTACTTTTAAACTGACGGTGAAAATTAGATGACCGATAATTTTGAAATTGAAAAATACCATGGGTGATTACTATTATTTAAAATATCACTTTCTATATATTATACACAAACCCTATCACAACCCCTCTAGTTGTCAACACGTTTAAAAAAATACCCCTCCTCCCTTCCTAACTGCTGGCAGCCATCCCACTCCAATCCTCCTCCTCGGCCACCCTCACTCTCAACTCTCATCCCCTTCGCCACCTTCCCCTAAGAGTTGTTCTTCACAAACCCGCGGTAGGATTTCAGATCTTAATTTTTCGTATCATTATGTATTTTTCATAAAGGTTTTATTTTTTCGTAATTGTATTATTTTTCCGAGTTGGTATCGATTATCATGTTTTGGTAGTGATGTTATTGTATTGGTAGTGATCTTCATGTTTGGTATTAGTTAAATTTGGAATGGTATTGGTTTATAAGTGGTATATGTTATGGTAGTGGTATTGTTTTTTTTTTGTATTGATTTCTTAATTTTTTTTATCTATAATGGTATTGGTATTTTTTTGAATTGACAATAGTTGTCTAATGGATTGATATTGTTTTCTTGTTTTATTTTTGCGGTGGTATTCGTTCGGTTGAACAAAAACACGAAAAAAGATCTCACTGAGATTGCGGAAGTGAGAGAAAGAGAGAGAGAAAATTGTAATTAATATGTTTTGTAACTTACTATAAAATACCATTTTATTAAAATAAGAAGTTAATAAATATTTTTTTATACTCAATTTGCCCTTAGTAACCACGATGATTAGTATAGTAATCCAAGGTGTCCATGGCCTTAGATAAAGCATATTTTCAAAGTAAAACCAAGGTCCACTTTCCAGAATCCATTCACGTGTATCTTGTGACGGGAGCTGAATGAGCAAACAACTAGATTAGGAGGACGATTAGGGTTTGCTAAGGTGTTGGTTGAATTGACTGCTGGAGATAATTTCCCAGATAATACTACTTTGTGGCCGGATGAAGTTCGATCTATAAAGGTTGGTCTTGAATACTGTTTTTTGCCTCCAGTTTGTGGGAACTGTAAGTTGTTTGGTAAGAGCTGTGGCTGTGAGGTTTCAGTTAGCAAGCAGGTATGGGTGAAGAAGGTTCCACAAGTTGTTGATAAAGTGCAGGTACAAGTGAATGTCACTCAAAGTGCTATTGAAGGGGTGTTGGATAATGGGAAGGGGAAGGAAGTGATTAGAGATTTTATTGTTTATCCGCAATTGGCAGCGATTTGTGATACTCCTATGGCGAATCATGAAGCTAGTTCAAGTGGAGCTATGGTTCGTGGGGTGCAAGGATTTAA